GCAGTCGCAGTAGCAGTAGTAGTAGAAGTAGTAGTAGTAGTAGTAGTAGTATTAGTAGTAGTAGTCGTACAGCAGTAGTAAGTAGCAGGAGTAGTAGTAGTAGTAGTAGTAGTCGTACAGCAGTAGTAAGTAGCGGTAGTAGTAGTAGTAGTGGTGGTGGTGGTGGTGGTGGTAGTAGTAGTAGTAGTAGTAGTGGCAGTGGTAGTAGTAGCAGCAGCAGCAGTAGCAGCAGCAGCAGTAGCAGCAGCAGCAGCAGTAGTAGGAGTAGTAGAAGGCGTAGTAGTACTAGTAGCAGCATTAGTTGTTGCAGGTGCGGTACTAGTACTAGCAGTCTAGCAGTTGTAGTAGTACCAGTAGCAGTTGTAGTAGTAGTAGTAGTAGTAGTAGTGGTAGTAGTAGTAGTAGTAGTCGTAGTAGCAGGAGTAGTAGCAGGAGTAGTAGCAGGAGTAGTAGCAGGAGTAGTAGTAGTAGTAGTAGCAGGAGGAGGAGGAGGAGGAGGAGTAAGTAGTAGTAGTAGTAGTAGTAGTAGTAGTAGTAGTAGTAGCAGTAGTAGTAGTAGTAGCAGCAGTAGCAGCAGCGGCAGTAGGAGTAGCAGTAGCAGTAGCTGCAGCAGCAGCAGAAGCAGAATCAGAAGCACGAGGAGTAGATGGAGGAGAAGGTGCAGCAGCGATGCTACGTCTAGGAGTAGTAGAAGAAGTGCGGTTGCCTTTTGCCTTCGGCTCTCGTCATCGTCGTCGTTGTGGTTGCTTTTGTTGTTGCTTTTACGTATCTTGTTGTCGTTCTCATTATCGTCGCAGTTGTTCTCGCTGCTACTAGTAGCAACAGCAGCAAGCACAGTCGTTGTGGCGCGACCGTCGTCGCAGTCTTTCTCTTTCTGTCCTGTCAGAATGCTTGATGCTCAATCTGCAATCGTGATTGGTAGTTACATGGGTGCTGCTAGAGTCGTATCAAGCTGAACATGGATCAGAGTGATAGAGCCGGAAAGCTCACCCATAACAGCAGCAGCAAAACTGTCACCACAGCGGAACCAGTTGCAATAGCAGTATCAATAGCAGTGGCAATCAGCAATAGCAAGCCAACGACATCAACAGTGGCGTGAACACCGGCAGCAGTCACATTCGGAATGCAGGCTGATGATGCCTGTAGCAGCACATTCTTTGCCATCGTGTTGACATCTTCATCGAGCAGTGTTTTGTGATTTAGCAATCAACCTTCAGGCATGCCCCGCCATCTGTGTGTACCAACAGCAACAGTATTGCAAGGATCATCGGTAGCAGAATTCGCGTTTAATTGTTGGTAGTGGCGGTTCACGCGTGGCCTAGGCAATCCATGCATTGTGCTGCTCACTTCGTCGGTACGAAAAATCCAAAGCGGAATCAGATGCTGCACGAAGTGGACACGGTGTGTCGTACCATCCTACCAAAACCATCCGATCCTTGAAAGGAGCGTCCATTTCCTGTGGACAGAGCCCTCGACTGCTTCCAGCAATGGCGAGGGGTGACCCGACTGGTCTTGATTTCATCGTTTTGATGCCAGTGTTTTGTTGAAAGGTTACCGGAAAGCAGTCTACTACGAGTGCAGGTACGACGTCTACTATTTCCACCACCTCGACGACGACGACTACTACTGCTGCTACTGCTACTACTACTCCTCCTCCTCCTGCTGCTGCTACAACCACTGCAACTACTACAACTACTCCTGCTAACTACTACCTAACCACTACTAACTACTACTAACTACTACTTACTTCTTCCTGCTACTTACAACGTCTTACTACTGCTGCTACTACTACTACTACTACTGCTACTGCTACTGCTACTGCTACTGCTACTGTTGCTCCTACTCCTACTCCTATTCCTACTCCTACTCCTACTCCTACTCCTTCTCCTACTCCTACTCCTACTACTACTCCTACTCCTACTACTACTACTACTACTACTACCCGACGGTGCCACAATTGACGCCATGCTTCTCCTCACTTCAGGGCCTCAAACGTGTGGTTTTAGTAGGATTTTCGCCAAAGTCTCGAGGGTAGGTTCTGTTGGTTTTCCTGGACAGAGGATTGGGG